AGGTGAATCACACACCAACACGCCCTTCACCAGTTGCACTGCTTCATTGAGTGAAGCACCAGACACTCAAAGCTTGTTGTTCCTTATTGTTTCAATCTGGGATTGTACACAAATCCTCATCTCTCATAGCCAGGGAATATGTAGATCGGGCCGGGAGTTCAGAGCCTGCAGAGCCTGGAGACGCCCATTGTCCTATAGCTGCTGTGCTTCCCTCATCTATTCTTTAGAGAAGCAGAAAGGAAAAACAGCCAATCTTATTTCTAATCATTACTACTTCTGCCACTTTCTTTACCCCTGGGCACTTAGAAGCATAAGTGACAACTGGAATCCATTATCAGGGTGAAAACTCAATAGCAGGAGACCAGACCAGGGACCTCTCAAGAAGTCTATAAATGTAGTTACTGAAATCCCGTTTTCCCCTTTCACTGGCTCCCTCTCCCAAACCCTGACATCTAGCAAAGCGGGCCCCTGAAAATCCAAAGCTTACTCAATTGCACGTTTAAACAACCATAGTAAAGAAAGAAGAGGACATCTGACTTGTCTTCTCTCTCAGATCTCCCAGGTCAAATGCCCAGCCATTGCTTCTCCTCCCAGTCTACCCACAGCAGCTTCTCAGTAGGACACTGGGAACAACTAGAGGATTAACCTGTCCTCTTGCCTCCTCGTTTTCCAGCTGGTTTGACAATTGTGTAGAAAACTGATGGCTCCTTCTGTCTTTAATGTCACTGCTTTAGCATATGTTCCTTTAAATCCCTGTTTTGATGCAACCACTCCCTCCCTGCACTCCAAACACTGGGGCCTCCACTCGCAGGGAAGCGAAAGAACCGCATCCTGACGACCGTACACAACACAACTTGCACCTTTCTGTGTGTGGTGGAAGGAGGACGCCTTTCGTGGAGAGGAGTGGGGAAGTGACCCGATTAGGACACACAAACCAGAGAAGGGGACTGAATGAACTGTCAGCCACTTTTCCTAGACGTCTTCAAAAGGTGCCTGGCACCGGATCAGCACTCGGCACAAGTCACCACAGCTGAGCTGCAGCCAGGTTAGGCAAGATGCTCGAACGATTTAATGAAACTGGAGTCAAACAAAACTCAGCAGCAGAGTAAAATTCACCTTCTCCAAAGCAGGCCTCAAAAGAAACAGAAACGTAAGATGAAGAATCCAAAGCCATGTACTTAAGCCTTAGCTTTAGAGATCAGAAATGGAAGGAGGAAAAATTAGGCACAGTTGTCAAATCCTGATCTTTGCCTCAAAGATCTGATGGCACTACAGCTAACAATGTCTGGCCCCATTCACCTACTTTGCAAACTCTGAAGCTCAGGGAGAAGGAAAAAGTACTCTCTGGATACATATAAGAACTGGTTAAGTGACACAACTAGTACAATTGCTCCCATGAAGAATTGCAATTAGGGAAGATTTCTGCCCGTGCTGATAAGATTGCTGTCGCCATAATACAGTGTATACACCATTTTATTTTCTCCTCTCTGAAGACCTACTCCTTACTTTTCCCAGGGTTTAAAAATCATGTTAACAATAAGCAAATACAGCATGGCCAGATGCCTTTCGTGGTCAGATGGTTCATTGTTTAAAAAGCTTCAGTTTAAAATCCAAAAGATTGTTAACAGATGCAGTTTCTGGCTGGAGACTGGGAAAAACCTCACTTAAACAAAAGAGTATGTTGTGATTGGAACTAAAAAGGGAATTACCTTTAAAGATAAGAACCACAAACATTTCCTATTTGAAAATACCCCCAGCCCCACCAACAGGACCTTTTTGTGGACCTCTCACGAAAGTTAAAAAATTTGACGGTGGATTGCTGCACACAAGAAACCACGGCTGACCAGCCAGTCCAGTCATTTTTACAGATTTGTTTGGACTTTCAACACGGCCACACATCCATCTCTTGCTCTCCCCCAGATTACTCAATTAGGCAAAATTCCAATTAATTTCTTTCCAATTCTTTTAGCCTAGAAACACTTTTGCTGCTTTCATTTTGGCTCTGGAAATGAGTTTTCAACCAGAGACTTAGATAGAGAAGTTTGAGAAATGAACACAGAGCTTGATAAGCAGACAGCCACTGCTGGGACTCAAGTCACTGTTGGATGGAAAAGAGCCACTCGGCTGAGAAAGGCCTGGCCCCATCTTGAGTTCCCAGTCTCATTTGCCTCCACAACTGCTGTGGACTTTTACACAGAAAGCTTGCTTTTCAGCAACTCCTGTGTCTGTTTCTGTTGGCTTTCGTGGGCCCTTACTCTATGGCTTCACCATGTGTGAGAATGTCTGTAATGTCCTGGGTTCTAATCTGGAAAGACAGATAATCTGAAGGAGCCATGGGTGTGTTACTTTCCCTCGGCCTAAGAAATGAATATGGTTTGGCTTGCTGGTGACAAGCCTGATTTGAAAAGGCTACACAAGATATGGTTCAAGGAAAATAACCTGTTCTTAGTATTAAGGATGGCCACCACGGGCTCCATTATGAGAATGGGCAACCTGTCCCTTAGGAGATCCCATTCTCTGAAGAAAAGTCAACAGCATGCCCTTTTCCTGCTTAGGTTCTTGTGTTCTCTTACTCATTGTATTATCTCCCAATTTATTACAGTGCCCAAAAAAAGGTCAGTTTCAGACCAAAGGCATAGTATGGTTTTAACAGTCTGAGACGCTTTAATCAAGAAAACCCTTAGTCGAGCAACACTACCATCCACTTTAAAGTGAGGCAGATCTACAAGCCCATGCGATTCTCCCAAGAGTTACAATGGCTTTCCCACTCAGCCATGCCACTGCTAAGTCACATAGGGACTCCAAGCCACTGGAGTGAAGCAGGGAGCTGCTTTCCCACAGACCCGTGTGATCCAGCCAGGTACCAGCAGGAAGGGCCATCCGTCAAGAAACGGGACTCTGAGGCCAGCGGCCACATCCCTATCCATCCTCCCACAAAGAGCCAACCCCACCATGTGCACGAGACAAGGTCTGCAAGGGGATTTGCTAGGCCTGGAAATTGAAAAACGAGCAGCAGCTGCGAGCCCGAGGTCACTGCTATCCTCCAGAGTTTGCCTTTTCTAATCTAAGGGGCAGTAGTTTCCATGATTAACTTTCAATTGCTGTCAAGGGTGTAATAAAATCTGGGAAAGAAGAAAACTTTCCCCTCGGTGAGCTGCTCCCATTTGCCTGCCTTTTCCTTTCCTCCAGCGCATATTCTCAATCCCACTTCATACTTGTTTCCTGATTTTGAGAAAAAAATCTGCACTCGGTTGAGCCAAAATAGACAATGTCCTCTGTGTACACAGGCACTTGAAGACTTTTCTTTCTCAGTTCTGGGGGCTCGGTCTTTAAGATGGCTGTGGGAAACGTTCCCTTGTTTTCAAAGACCGTACAATACCATCACTTTCAGAACTAGATACATTTTATTTTCATTTTAACATTCTTTCCCAGTGTATTTTATCTGTTTTCTGAGCCATGACAATCAGTTCAACAAAAGACAGGTTTTCCAGTTGGTAAGATGTGTACAAAGAGAAAGAGAAGAAGACATATTCATTCTCAGACACATCACACTGGGTACTACTGGGTTAGGAACCCGTAAGACTCCAACTTGGTCGGATCTGATAGTGGCTCAGAAATCATACTGAGAGGTTACCGGTGGACATGTCTCTCAGCAAGGGAACCAAACTCCACATATAGTTTTATCAATTTTAACTGCTCAGGTGGAAAATTAAAAGCACTTTAAATTTCTTGACAGTTCAGTATAACACTAATAACTTAGTGGTTCACCTATACATTTATTTCAAAGTATTGGATACTGGAGTTACAAAGATGAGTGAGACATGGTGCCTCACCACCAGAGGCACAAAGTCTGGTTGGAGAGGGGCATGCGCAGGCTCACTGCTGAAGAGATGCTCCTGAGAGGGTCCAATTACACAAGGCAGCATGCCAAGAGACAGCCACGTGGGCAAGCGGAGGCCCCAAATGCATGCTAGTCACCCAAGAAAAGGTTTCCCTGACTGATACTGTGTCTTGAAAAGATGCTAGATTGCTATAGTTTGTCCCTATCGCCCTGGGGCAAGAGTGAGGAATTGGAGCATCCGCTGCCTGCTGGAGAGGTGGCATTTCTCTCGGTGCTAGCCCTGCCCTTCCCGTCACCCCATCTGAATTCAAGTCTCTACTGGAACAGAAGCAAAAGTGGCAAGAGACGGTCATGAACACGATTGGTTCCAAAAGTGGGGTGGAAACAGTCTGAGAATTTGCCACCGGGTTTAAAAGATGGAAAGTGAACTGTATTGCAGGAGATACAGGCCACAGGGTGACGCCTAGTGCCATGGCTGCTAGGGAACAAGCTGCCCCAGATATCCATTTTCCCCTCTCCAAAGACAACAGAACCCCCAGCTTTTAAGCAGGGGTGACCACCCGGAATAAAGACTGTGTTCCTTGCAGCAAGGTTTGGCCATGTAGCTATCTGGCATGTGAGGGGAATTCAAGTGTATAAGTCCTAGGACACGTCCCTAAGAGTGGAGGGGGGGAGGCCTGTGCCTTCTTTTCCTTTCCTGCATTCTTAGTTTGGAATGTGAAATGGCTGGAGAGCCACCTTGAACCACGAGGGCAAGGCCGCACCTTAGAGGTAGCGAAATGAAAGTTGTTAGAGGGTAGTCACAGAGGCCTGTGGCCCCATAACACTAGTCCTAACCCACCTACGTAGAAACTTTTATGTAAAGAGCAGGAAAAACACTTTGATTTTCATGTAGGCCAACGTCATTTTGGGTCTCAGTTGCACAGGATTATGAATAACGGTTACAGGTGCAGGGTTGGGGGGTGTCCAAGGAAGGTTGATAAAAACATCTGAGGAGTCAGCACTTTGCTGCATGTGGCACCAAGGCCACAAGGGGACACATCCAATCTGGTTTGCAGGTTATAAAAAGCTGCCTGATTTCTGGTGGTGAAATGTGAGAGCAAAGGAAATCAAAAATGATAATTTTCCAGTTAACCATAAACACAATAAAGTATCTTACCTTTTTCTTGCTACAGTATATTTGCCACTTTTTCTCAGCTGGAAGTGCAAACATGGCTTCCCTGTGTTTGTCTGTGAGGTCAAGTTCATCCTGAGAAGAAAAATAATAATTAGTATTTCACAGATTAAATGTTATTCCCATAGGGGATGTTATCAGCATCATCAGGGAGAGAAAAATACACCAGCACGTATTTAAATGAACTCGGGAAAGATGGAGAAGCTAAGTTACGGTGTAAGTTACCACCAAGCAAGCATGTTCCTGGCTCCAGGCAGGCCCTGCACTGACTGAAGGGTGTGGGGAGGGGGTGGAGCATGGACAGAACAATCCTGAGCCACGTGTACAGCTGTAGAGGGTTCACTGAGCAGTCAAGGCCATCGAGGGTCCAGAGTTTGGAAGGATTAATCGTATTACAGACAAGGGTTAGCCAGGGATGGCTCCACAAACACTGAATATCAGGCTGGGCCCTGAAGGACCTGGACCTGATGCGAGGAGGGAGGAACAGACCCAAAGGCTGGGATGTGGGAACAGCCTCGGTGTGTTTGGGGGACACTGACCAGCTTAGCTGAAGCACTGAGATTACGCAAAGAATCATCACATAAAAGATTTGAGAGGTAGGCAGTGATCAGTTTGCGGAGAGTCTTAAATGCCAGAGTAAGGAGTTTATTCTCTGGACCAAGGAGAGCCAATGAAGGTTCTGAGCAAGGCAGTGACATCTTCATCGCCATAAACTCCCCTAAGATTTACCCAGTACTTTCTATGCCAAGCATCGTGCAGGCATTGTCTCATTTGGTTCTCAAAACAACCCTAAGAGCACCACTCATTATTACATCCTCGCTGTAATAATAATCCCTGTTGTAATACAGCTGTGGGAAATTTAGGTGGAAGATTGGGTAACTTGCTCAAGACCACACACCTGGCAAATGATGGGGCTGGGTTTTCAGCCCAGAGCTGTCTGACTGCAGAGCCCAGACTCAGCCTCTCAAATCACTGTCTGGAAATATTAATTCTACAGTGGTGTGCAGCTTAGATTGGACACTAAGGGAAGACAATTTACAAACATCCATAACTAATGAATAACAACAATGGGATAATGAATATAAAGTGCTTAGAGAAAAGGTCTTGGCATTTAATACCTCAGTCTACGGTTGGTATTATTATTGGTATTGAGCATCTGGTACATTTTTATTCCTATACAGAAAGTTATGTCGTTGAAGGTGGCAGATTGGTGGGTGTAAGACAGACATGTAACAAGATGCTATGAATTGAGGCACAATAAGGTTTAGATCCCTGAGGAGTATAAACAAGTCCCCCTCTGAATGCCTTTGGTCTTTATCTGTAGTTCTGCCTCTTGTGGACACTGGCTTCACATCTTATACTCCCACCTCCATTTAGTCATCAAGTCCTATTATTTCTTACTTGAGAAGTCTCATAATTTTCCCTTTTTTTCATTCCCCATGAAACCACCCAAACTTACGCCCAAATAACCTCTCTCTCGGCTTCTGGCAATAGCCTCTGCACTGTTCCTCCCTGCCGTTCCAATTCTTCCTACAGCACAGCCAAAATTCATAAAGGCAGTGGTTGTCAGATTTGAGCAAGCATCAGAATCACCTGGAGGACACCCCAAACCACTGATCACCCAGTGTTTAGGATGGAGCAGGTGGGAGAAAGTGCAAGAATCTGTGTTTCCAACAAGTTTCCAAGTGTTGCTAATGTTGCTGGTCCAGGGACCACATTTTAAAACCACTGCCTTAAAAATAGAGCACCTGTGCTGTTTTGAGCTTCCAGTTTAAAAAGCTTCATTAGTTCCACATTGCCTACAAAATTAATCATACATTCCTCAGCCTGCCTTTGAGATCTTCCATTTATCACTCCAACTGACTTTGCCAGGCCTGCTTCTGGTTATGCCCTTATACCCTATCTTGTTAACACCCACACCTCCAGGGCCTGGCCACTCAAGGCGTGATCCAGGCTAGCTGCCCATGGAAGTTCTTAACCTCGTTAAGCCTCTGCTTCTTCATGTCAAATGATGGGCATATCATTTCTCTTGAAGGGCTGTTGTGAAGATTAGTGACATCAACTAAGCATGCAGTAATGCCTGGCACAGTAGTACTGTTGTCATTTCTCTCATCATTTAAACACAAGCCAGGTGCCACTTTAAGAGAAAGGTAAACAGCTAAGTCACTAAAACACACACCCATACACCAACAGAGTATTACACCCTAACCACATGAAACTAGTTAAGAATTTCAACAATGAACAACCAGGGAAGGAAGGAGATATTCACAAAAAAGTCCATTATGAGGGAACATGTTAAAAATGTTAAAATTTTGGCATGCAACTATTATATATGCAAACTAATTATTTTTCTTCCTTTCTTAATTTCCTGTGAGTAACACCTGCTCTCACCTATTGATGAATGGGGAAAATAATGGTGACATAAATCACTTCTCAACAATTAGGGTGTTTGGGGGAGGGGGTGGGTGATCAGCTCAGTTATTCAAACAGCCCGCTAATATGGTGAATAGTTTGGGGAAAAGGTTTGTGATTTGTGAGAGAGAACGGGGCTATTAATGTTGCATCCTTTACTACACTACAGCACTGTGTTTTTGCTAACTGAGCAGAGGTGTGAAGAAACGTGTGAATCCTAAAACCTAGCAATTCACAGCAAAGGGTATTAATATCACCATACTCTGCTGTTGAGAGGTAGAAAACTTCTGCTTCTGCTGAGACACAGAAATGACTAATTCTGAATTGAGAGAACACAGTTGAACTAGGACTCAGGGGCAGATGGGTTCATGCAAGAAGAGAATTTCCATGAAATAAAAAATAAAAAGTTGCTGTAGGGTCTTTGGATATAATTTTGGATTACAGGAAGAAAATGGGAAGGAATAAATGGATACTGATAATAGTAACAGCTAACAATTATTGAGCACTTTCTGTGTGCTTAGTTGTAGTGTTTTATAGGAAGTAATTTAGTTTCTCTTCACAGCAATCCTATAAAGTGGATAATGTTACCCCATTTTCCAGGAAACTAAATCACAGAGAGATTAAATAGCTTGCTCAAGGTAACAGAGCTAGTAAATGGTGGAGGAGGAACTTGAGGCTAGGCTGTCTGTTATAGAGCCCACATTCAACAAGTAAAATCATGACACTGATATAAATATGAAAATGCATCTGCTACACTCACAGCCTACTGAGTTGCAGGACTGGCTCTTGTGGGTTATTCAAACTTGGACAAGTGACTTAGCCTCTGAACTTCAATTTCTTCACCTGAAAAATGAGAATGATAATATATATCTGATAGAGTTCTCTCAAGGATTCATTCATGCAACCAAAAATATTTTTTGAGTGTCTACTAAATGCCAGGCACTGTGTTAGGTACAGGGGACCAAAAGGCATCACAGAGCTCATATTCTCCGGTGGGCAGGAGGGAAATCAAGTAATCACGTGCACTCAGGATGGTCACACAGGAAGCTGAGCTTTGAGAGCCCCCTTGCTGTGGGGAAAGGTGGGGCAGCGAAGGCTTCCCAGGGAAGTGAAGTGAGAGCTGCGAGCTGAAAAGAAATTAAATAGCTAAAAAGCACTGCAACCAGGGAGCAGCAGCTTTGAAGGACACTATGAATTTTGGTCTTTCTCCTAAGAGCAATCAGAGGTCACTGGCAGATTCTGAGCAAGGAGAGTGACATAGATTAAATTAGATAATAACTGGGAGTGCCTAGGCACAACGCCCAGACTGTAATAAGACCCCTACTCCTTCATTCCAAAAGTATCTCTGCTCTGACTCATTCCATGTTAATAATATGGCTGAACCAAGCATGCGAGACTCTGCGAGACTATCACAGCCTTAGGGATCAATCAACACTCACTTGCTGTCCTACCCATTCCAGGACCATGGCCAGACATTATAAAGAATACAAAGATGAATAACAGACCCTGATTTCACGGAATTTAGAATCTAGTTACAAAGATAAGATGATAGAAGGCTTCAACGGTTCCCTTTCAAGATAAAGTCCAAATTCCTTAGCTGGTAGGTAGAGACTCGTCATGATGTGGCCTTTGCAGACCTGCCCCACGTCACCTCCTCCTCCTCCACCAGTAGTCACTTTTTAGTACTTCTGATCACAAGCTGCCCACTTCTGAAACTTCCGCACATGCTGTCCCCTTTTCCCACAGAGCCCTTCCCACGACGTCTAAGGATTAACCCTATTCATCTAAGCTTTTACAAGGCATCAGCTATTCCCTCCTGGCAGGCAGCCTATCCTATCTTCCTGTGATGGGCAGCTCCTCTATCCTTGCGGCCTTTAGCACATTGCTACTGGACGTTATTGGCATGTCTGACTCCCACTCGAGAGTCCCAGAGTGTAGGAACTAAATTTGTCCTATTCACTTTGCATTAATTGCCAAATTAATTATTGTCCCCAAAACAATACCTGACAGATTGCCAAAAAAAGAAAAGTAAGGTTAGGGAAGCTGGGAGGGAGAAAGGGAAGGAGAGAGGAAGACAGGGGATTATTGTAGGACATAGTGACGATCAACTCATTTCCAAGATTAAAATCCATTCTTGTTTTTTTTTTTTTTTTGGTGGTAAAATATACATACAGTGAATGTCCAGATCTGAAGTATACAATTTTGAGTTTGGCAAAGGTATACACTGAAGTGATTGTAGCACTTTACTCTTCCGTTAGCAATATATGGCTGTCCAGTTACTCCACATTCTCACCAACATTTGGTGCTGCCTTTTTAATTTTAGCCATCTAGTTCATGAGAAGTGGTATCTCAGTATAGTTTTAATTTACATTTTCTTGACAACTGATGCTGAATATACTTTTTCACATGTTTATTAGCCATTGGTATGTGTCTTTTGTGAAGTATCTACTCAAGTCTTTTGCTCATTTTTATTGAGTTGCCTGTCCTACTATTGAGTTAAAGACTTTTTTTTTTTTTTTTCCACACACATATTCTGGAAACATGTCCTTTGTCCGAGGTATATATAGTTGGCTCTCTGCATCTGTGGATATGGAGGGCATCCACGGGACTTGAGCATCCCAGGATTTTGGTATCCATGCGGGGTCATGGAACCAATTCCCCGT